GAAGACATTCAAGCTGCCGTCTCCAGAATCTTGAACAGTCTTGACGCTTCGATCCTATGCATTTAAGAAATGTAATTAAAGTAAGATGAAATCGAAAAAATGTACTGTCCTGATGGTCTGTATTATGACCTTGATCTTACGTATTGTTCGGATCGAAGGTCAAAGAAGGTAAATGCGGAGCATTATATTGTAAGCAACAAACTACTGGAATACGTCCATCGAATCAAGCTAATGCTCTATCAGTCTTTAGTGAAAAAACAGACACGAACAAAACTCGCACCTTTGTACTTTTCGAGGTTTGACTCGTACTCGTGAAGACCTTTCATGTCACATTCGTCTATAGACGACGAACCGCAGTAAGTGAGCGAATCGAGGGACGACGAACCGTCGCAGTCCGAAGTGACTGTGCCTCCTCCATTTGCATAGGTCTTCGTGGTCAGTCGAACAGCCATCACGAATGGACGATGGTCATCCACCAGGAAGAGGGGGCAAGTCAGAGGTCAACAACGGAAGTATGAATCACAATGGCGCTCTACGACGACTCTCTTTCAAGGAAAATGCAGAAATGCAAAATCGACCAACAATGCAACTGTACACATCTACACATGCGAATACTGAGTCGCCGTCGGCATCGACATTCTCGTCGATGTAACGTGCACAAAAACGATGGTCGCCCGAGCACACGCACCTGACTCACGCATTGCTCTTGCCACGTCACGTTACGATGGGCTGTAGCCAATCGAACGCCGACCTACGAGTATATGCTGTTTATCTTCCCCTGGTGGTGGCGACCGACACCGCAACGCCTGTACTCAACAACTTTCTCATGTAATGAGTTGTATCACTCACGATGGATCAATGTCCCCCCCCCCAAACGACACACCAGCGGTCGAAAGTTGGTAAGGTAAAATATCTCCGACAGGCGGTAGTATCCCTCCGTCAATTATCGTTGGAAGTGCTGACCGGTCAGAGGCTGCATTTGTGCCGATGTGCAGCTGGGTCACAATGGCGCCAACCAAATGTTAGTCTGTTGGCCGAACGCCAAACTTCATTGTTAGGAGTGAGAATTTGGTGGAGTTTGTCAGTTCATGTTGACCTCTTGTGAGGTCACTTTTGGCACTCCGCCACGGAAACTTCCATAAATAACGTTTCGTGCGCGGATCGAAACAATCAATAATGACCAATCGATGGGGTATATGATCAGAGCATTATGACCGAGGAAATTGTCCCCTCAGCAGTGATTACCGAACGAATATGCGGACACAGAAGAATGTTAAATTATGTTCAGATTAACAACGCTAATGTTGGGCTTTCTGTTTGTTTCTGTGAGCCCATGCCATGCTGGGTGAATGACGATTGGTCAACAACGATGCACAGAGTAGCTTGATAACGATTGCCTGTATTTCTAAGTGCTGCGTCATCCAAGAATTTCGCAGGATCTAACTTTTCGATATAACATCAATCAATGATTTGACGCGTAACTCCTCCCAAGATCGTCTAGCTAGTTGGCACAGTTGTTTTAGAGGTCTGCTTGAAACTCCGGACGTGCCGATTTCCAATCAATTCGAGGGCAATCGGTGTTTCTCAGGAATATGCTTGAGCAAGTAATTTACTACGCACTGCTTCAGACCTGCGTTGCCCAGTCGATAAAGCCTAGTTAACCTATCTAACTGACAGCTGATAGGTTTCTAGGTTTATAAATGAGCATCACTCTGTGGGAAGGAAACAGAGGCAATGGGCTACCACCCTGACATGTTTTTAGACACTTTCTTTAAAACGAGGTCCTTCTACGTGATTACCCACATCCGCACCCATCAACCTCATGAAATAAAAGCGCCAAAATGGCCCAATCATGAAAACGAAGAAAGATCAGCCATGAAACGCGGTGACCAATTTTAATCACCTCCCGTCCTGCAAGATCACACTTCAGGACGTATCGCGCCGCCTGCTTTCTCTTACTGGCCAACGGTGCGAGGGTTACTACAGCTGCATGATATTTTAGCACCTCGACTGCTACAAGTATGAATCTGTGATTAAGATCGAGATCGCGCTCATTATGAAAGATGCCTCAAAAGCTGGAACTCCGTATATGATACCATATAAACATATAAATATATTCGTTCCTCCTATTATGCCAAGCAGCACATAATTCTTCCGTTTCGATAGACGGTTTCGCTTCATAATCATTAGCGATGACCGTCTTTCAAAGATACAGATCATCGAACCAAAATGAAGTGAGGCAGCTGGCGTAAAACGAAGAAAATGAGGGAGAAGGTAAGTTCTTCGCTTTCGATACGAACTGTTCTATGCATGATAACCATGGTAACAGTGATAACCGTAATCACCTATGGTGCACGCTGTAAAATCATCGTGTGGTATGACTGGAAAACACTTTAATGTCGCCGCCTTTCTTTACCCTGAACCAACAGTCGAAAGGCATGGACTTTAATTTGCGAGCATCATTATAGGCCAATGCTATGAAAATGTTCCGCCACTTCAAGACAATGGTGCGAGTGTGACACAAGGTTTACGTGTATCACTTACTTCGACGTTTCGACCGCCACCACGGGTGGCCTTTATCAGGCCATAAACAATATCCGTGAAAATTTCTTGATGACCTCTTCCATGCGTTATATCGATTTGTCGGAGGAAGGAGAAAAGTCAAATCTTATGTCACGTCCAAAGCCAGTCCGATTTAAAAGGCTGAGGGCTTGAAGCTTAACATTTTGTGGACACAGGAAATATATATCCCCTCATTCTGTGAGGGAGCTCGAAATCAGTTTCTCTACCGTTTACCTACATACATAGCCTTTCAACCGATTCTTTGTGATGTTGTTTGACTATTCGTTTCAAAAACTCCATAAATCAACGTCTCCTCTAACGAGCACCATCGGCAGACTATAACCTGATGACATTCTACTGCTAGACAAAAACGTCTCTGCAAGCAATCACTACTTGATGGTAATGGTCATTCTAAATACCATTACCGAAATCTTACACTCTACCTTAAATAATTCATTGATTTTTGTAAAATTGCTGTTGTAAACTGTCCAAATGCGTTCAATCTAGACAACTGTGAACGAAGGTGCATATTTAAGCTAAAATATCAAACGGTTTATTGCGTGTAACATCATTAGTGCGAAAGCTATGATTCAGTTCTTCAAATTTAACATCATTCTTCAGCTAATGGTACCTGATGACATGTGCGGTATGAAATTGCATACCATGATACAGCGTTTTAATGTCTTTTATTCGATATGTTAATCCTGAAAGCTTATCAGCAATCTGAAACGATCAACCGAGCAGTAAATCATAACTTCAGAGTGAGGGATCTTCCCCTCCCTCACCGAGCGAATATTTCTACACAAATGCGCCAAGCAAAAAGCCAACCTTTCCCAAAACTCAAACATAATGATTAAAAACGTACATAATATCCGAAGGTCAAAAGGCACTAGGTCGCAACGCGTTCGTTAATGCCATGCGAGTGATGCACGTTAATATAACCTTTTTCTTCAGTCCCGTTTCAGCAGCAAGAGTGCAAACTCGAACTGTAGGATTTTCGGTTTCTAAATGACAACTCTTGTGCCGACTTTGCAACAACTGTAAACTCAATTTTTGTACCACTTAGCCTGAACATAGTAATAGCATGGCAAACATTAATTGCTGTAGTTTCTGTATAAAAGAATCCTCTTATTTTCCGACTCAGGTGTACATCATGAATATATCTGAGTATATAGACGCTGAGTATATGCAGTACGTTACAGGCATCTGCTTTTCTGCACCATGGCAAATAAGCTACGCTCCAGGTTCGTTTATTCGCCCTGCAATCTTCATCCCCTTTAATGTACGTTCGTTTTTTCCTCATACGTTCATTATGAAGCTTCTTAAACTGAATTTGGTTTTAGAATCATTTTTGCCCCTAAATCTATAGAACTTCGTTGTCGTCGGTCCGAAACTCGGTTGAGAAAGGAGGAAGGTTTGAGATCTCCTTAAAATTTCCTTACCTGCCATTCATGATATTGACGCCATCGAAAATTGTACCTAATCCGTTGTCGTCCGGGTTACCAGGCTGCAAAAGTCGGCGATCAGAACCTGATCATCGCCTCTGCAATTTTTTTTTTGGGGGGGGG